AGCCGGTTCAAAAGGTCCTGTCCAGGATACAGAGGCGAGCACGCAAGAAGCGTAGGCTACAAGGGAGCTCGAATGCCGCCAGGCCACCCTGTAGTCTCCAGAACTTTTTATTTCTCTCTCTTTCTTTCTCTCTTCGTCTCTCTCTGTTTCCTTTGTCACCGATCGTGGGGCAGACAAGAGCAAAAGGACGGAGAAAGTAGAGAGGAAAAAGCTTGTTGATTACAAAGAAATTGATTTTATTATTAATATAATAAATTTTTTAACGACATTAAGTTCGACACTCAAAGACGTAACGAGACTCGTTTTTCCTTTAGAATTTTTTTAGAAAAAAATTTAAGAGAATAATTTTTAATAAATTATTGAATTTTCATAATAGAATTGATTAAAAAGAAAACACAATACCGGTAGAAAATTTAATATGGAATCATAAAGCTCTCCACGCCGATACAAATCGCTCCAGTTTAACAGCTTCACACGTTTTCAACCGTGCACAGAGCAGAAAATAGAAGGACTCGTGCAAAGGTCGTGCAAACAGGATAGCGAGAAGAAGGCCAAGGAAGGAGGAGTGAGAGAGAGAGAAGGAGAGAGGGGAAGGGGGGAGATCGAGGTAGCTAAAGAAGGACGTTGCTGGAAAGACGAGAAGGGGGACGTGTACAGTTACCAAAGGCCGCGTCGAGCAGCACCACCTCTTACGATAAAGTATCGACTTTGAAAAGTCGGACAGAGATCGTTTCCCTCTTTTAGTGGAATCGGTTGATCGCTTCCGGCTAAGTTTCGGACGAAAGTCGAACATTCGTGGGAATGAGCGGATGATTCTTGGAAAAAGAAACACGGATTCTTTGTCGCCGATTTTTATCTCTGAACGAAACGATCGTCCGAAGACGCTGTAACTGAAGGTCGAGACATTCTCATACTTTTACTAGTTGAGCCTGTGTATTGGAAACTGCCAAGATATGCATGTTGTATTCGTATTTTTTGATAAAACGTGTGATAAAATAGAAGAATAAACGTAAAAATTTTGACATAGTCAAAGAAAATTTAAATAGTCGAGTATAAGTAGAAAGTTTTTTTTTAAAAAGAAAATAAATTGCGAATGAAGAGATATCTGAAGAAAATTTCGAGAAAAAACGAATGACTTTTAACAAAGGGATATTTTGAACCCACGTTGAATTAACCTTTAATTGCATCATCTTTATTGTTGTAATGCATCGGCATCACGTGTAACACAACAAGAATCACGCAATCGTTCAATAGACAACTGTATTCGTAAGAGAGCCGTGGGATAAAGCGGTTTGCTTGCACAAAGATCTTCTCTCTTTCTTTTCAGAGGTTCGTTACAGGTCTGGGAAAACTCCCGTGAACTATATGAAACATGGGTGTTGCCAGTTAGTTAACCTACTTCTCACGACGCATGCCTGTTGCAGGCAAAACCTTTTAAGGCGATCGACTCTAATATCGCCAGACCTGTTGTCGAGTCGCTTCGCAGCTTTACAAGATACCGTATTATATACATTTATTTATTTATTAATATCCTTAACTTTTTAACATTCTTGAATCTTACATTCGCATGATAAAAAAATCACAATGGTTATTGTTAAAAGATAAAAAAGAAATATTCGAAAGATTATATATATTAATCATTTATCCAAACATATGTCCCAATATGCAAGAACGAGAAGTCTGCCAAATGTGAAAATTGATAAAACGAAACGCGAAAGATGAATAGTCCGTAATGCAACGTTTGCACGATCGAAAGAGAAACGTTATTTATTGATGGCCAATAAATTATCCAATTAGAGCGGATCGTTTCGGCAGCCTTCCTCAAACCCTTTCTCCGTGTTCGACGCTTTCGTCCAATTCATATATACCGCACGCCCCTTACCCTTCTCTCTCTTTCTCTCTTTTTTTCTTTTTTATTTGATCTTCGATTTTGCACGCACCGTGCGCCAAATCTTTCGTGTAATTCCCGATATTTCCGTGGCCCGATCGAACATGTGTCTGACACGGTGTCGATTTCACGGCGTTCTTTTATCGGCGAAACGGCACGAATTTTTCAAAGTGTGAAAAGGGTTGGTCGAAGCCCTTTCGCGACGGAGGGTAGGCGCTTTGAGGGTCGATGGTCGTTTAAAAAAGAAAAACAAGATTTGGTCGCAGACGTTTTTCAATTTTTTGATAGAAATAAATAATATTTTTGTTCCAACAACTTTTGAAAACGTGTTTCCGTTTTATTTTATTTTTTAGATATTATTGTATTTTTTTCTTTTTTGCTGCCTTCGATCGTCGACCTAGAATTTTTGAAAAAAATATCGAAAATCCGGAGAATGTTTTATGGGATTGTAAATTTTTACAAATACTTTTTGCAAATATCGAAGAGGTATAAGATTTTACGAACTTGCTACTAAAACGATAATTTCACGGTGTATCAATTTTTGCTATTAAAAGAACCATGAATGTTTTACCAAAAGTCGACTTTCGCGCGTCTGCAAACCGCTTTCTAGGCAATAAAAATTTTAATAACGAATCGTTAAACAAGATATTTTCTGATTTTTCCAAAATCGCAAATAATAAAATTTCATGATTCCGTGACGAATTTAATTAGTTATCAACAATCAATGTTTCCACAATTAATCATAATGTAAATAATAAGTGGATGTATAGAAACTTTCTAAAAATGCAAATCTATCTGGCAAAATAAAACTTTCAATTGCATAATCCATCGAGCCTCATTTCTTAAATGAAAATGAGGTATGTCAAAAATGCCTATTTTATATATATAGACAGATTTTCATTTAATGCCAATAGAGTCGATCAAATCGTATCAAAGCGTATCATGCAAATGAGATACCATCAATCGCCTCGATGGTTCACACTCGAAATCGATCGATCGATACCGAGCTACATATTTTATTTCTAAGGACTTGAGTGATTCATGGCAAAATTATGTAAAAACTTATATGAATCATCATTTTATCTCAGCGATAAAATAATAATTTGTAATCGAAATGTGTAATCGAAATCTGTAAACGTATATATATATATTTTTGATTTTTTAAAAAAAAATACATTGGAAGAAAAAAGGAGAAGCAAACAGAAACTCGAAAGATTAACGATCAGAAATAATGCAATTATACGAATCTTGTGGAACAACAATTTCATCATTTTTGCCCATTAAACGCGTCATTATATCCTTCTTCCGTTTACGGTATGGGAGAAATTGAAGGGAGGAATAAAAAGCCGACAGGCAATTGCTTTACTCGCACTTGTTTCGAACTGCTATCGTGCATTAAATATCCGATAAGGAGAAACTGCTTAGAAAAAAAGCAACTTTGAAGTTGATCTAAACGAGTTTAAATTTCTTTTACAACAAACTTTTCCTCCGAGAGAAACTTTTAAATCCTTATTTTCTATAAAAAAAAATTACGAAATTCGCGATAGAAGAATAATTATTAATTATAATGGACAAAAACCGGTAAAAAGAGAATTTCTGTTAAAATTATTGATAAATAATTACGTGAAATAAAAATTTAGCACAACTCTTGTTCAAATTGAAGAAATTACTGACGAGCATATTGAAGGATACGCGAAATACTTTGATATGAACGCTTCGATAAGAAATCGTTATGCAAACACGTTGCTGATATCCTGCGCGATTCTGATATTCGTTCGTTCTCTTGCAAACTCACGATCTTTTGAATATTACTCGCGCAACAACTCTTCAGAGCCTGGAAAATAGATACGACGTTTCGATCCAATAGAGATTAACACGAAAAGATATTGACGCGATTACACAGCATTTCAAATAATATGTTGGGGATTGACAGGCGTTAATACTTGAAAAGTGTTATACGTATTATCGCTTTTACTATCGTGCTACCGTTCTGATCCCTGAGCACACTGATATTTCGTGGGATCTTAGAAACTGTGTGTACTCTCGTTACAATTATTGATATTATCCATAGGAGGTACGTGATTGAAACAAAGGACGATATGGATGAGAAACGAGGATCGAAGAGAATCACGAGGATCGTATTATTTAATATTATTCTTAACAAATGTGAATTTTAATTAAAAGTATGTTAAATGAAAGATGTTTCGTGAAAATAATTCAATTAATCGTAAATGTTGGTCAATTAAAACCTTTCCTATCGGGGGGCGATCCATCTATTCGTTTCTATAGTGATGTTCGAGCATTATCAGCTGATTAGCAAATGCGACATATGGCCGTAGTTGGTTTTATTAGATTATCGTACACTTACTTTTTCAACTATAAATCCTTGTTCAACGACATTTTAAGACCGAACATTTTCAGTGAAAGTGGTGAACGGGAAGGACGATAATAATTGGATTTCATTTTCTTTTTTCTTTTTTTTTTTGCAACAAAGTTAGAGGTAAGAAAACTTGATTAATTTCGCGTACGAGTATTTCCATTCACTGTACCGCGCCTTTAACTTGATGTCACTCTCTACAATGCAGTTGATCGTGAACCACAGTGACAGGCATCATTGCATTAATTTTTCTATTTACCAATAAAACAGAAAAAAGGAATATTCGTATTGAATATTCTATATCCTCAAGATTATAATTAAAATCATTGATTATCATTTTTATCCGATAAAATAGATATAAAATTCTTATCATCAGAGATACAAAAATCAATAAAGTTGAAAATCTAATTCTCAACTCACCGAATCACTGTAGACGAATATTTCTAATAAGAAATTAATGCAATATACAAAAACACCACGAAAAATCATCACCACGTCAATTTTAATAACACGGCCGCAGAAACTTGGTAATCGTTCTCGCACGAGCTCCACGAAGGAAAGAGAGAGAGCGTAATCGCCCTAAAAACCTCTAATCTCCTAAACTAGACGACTACATAGCCGTGGCACGCGTCTAATGCATACAAAGGAGAGTGGTGGGGGGTTTAGGTGCCCCTCCGTCGTGATTATGGGGTGAACTCTTGGTACGGTGCCCCATAGACGACGGGCCGCCCTTGTGGAGGGGGAAAAATACCCCTCGGGACGGTATATATGCCCTAAGAGCCCCATGCCACTTTCGCAGTACCAAATTGTACCCCGCCTGGCACGGTCCCGCGTTTCTTATTTCCTTTTTTTTTTTTTCCCCTTCCCTCGCCGCCAACGAAACGTTCGGCTATGTCGTGACACGAAATTTTATTCACAGTGCAATTGCGGAATTATAAGCAAGTTTATGAAGTGAACGACTCTGTGCGCGACGAATTCTGCGAGGATCAGGTAAGACGATTATCGGTGATTCGCGCGGATGGAAATTTTTATTCGCGAAAATCGAATCGAAACGCTTTTCATTTTCAATTGCCAATCGACCACACGTCAAACCATTGACAGAGAATAATAAATCCGTAATAAAATACTTGCCTCTCAGAGATAGACAGCATGTCCTCGGAGTACTCGTTCTGCAGCGAAGGAGGTTTCGACGAGCTCTCGAGCTCCTCCGATTCCGGTTTCGACGTGAGCTTCGAATCTCCCAAGCACGAGGCACAAACGGACGCCCTGTTCCCGCCGGCGAAAGAGGAGAAACGGAAGAAAACTCGGAACACGCGGTGCAAGAGTCCGACACAGGTAAGCCGATCCCCTTATCTCAGAGATCACGCCCACCCAAAGAGCTGCGAAGGGCGAAGGCTAAGAACGATCTCGAGATAAAGGAAGGAAAGAGGCGAAATGATTCACGCTCCAACCATTGATTCGCCCGCAGGTGCTCAGACTGAAAAGGAATCGTCGAATAAAGGCGAACGATCGCGAGAGGCACAGGATGCACACTCTCAACGACGCGTTGGAACGTCTTAGGATGGCGTTGCCCACGTTTCCGGAGGACACCAAGCTCACGAAAATCGAGACGCTCCGTTTCGCCCACAACTACATCTGGGCCCTGTCCCAGACGCTGGGGAACACGGAAACTGGAGAGATCACCGTGAACGTGGGCAACGTGACGGTCAGCATCAGCGAGAATGGAAACATGATCACATCCTCGACAGGAAGTTGCGCGGTTGCCGCGCAGAAGCGGCTCGGCCCGTCGCACGCTGTCTTCCCTTATCCCCAGGAGAGATTCGTGCCCGAATGGCAGGAGTACGATTGTTACAGCGATCAGAGCAGCGTCAGCCCACCGATGCAGTATCAACCGTGTTACGATCAGAGGATGTACGCCCATCAGCATCAGCTTCCGGCTCCGCATCATATGGGACATAACAACATGTATCAGTGTCTTTAGAGAGTTTTTCTTTTTTTTTTTTTTATTTCTCTTCTGGTGGAAGTTGGTGGGATAGTTTGGGATGGGTGGTTGTTTCGGAGGATGGTTCTTCGACTTGGATCGTCCAAGTTTTTGAAGATGGCTTGGTAGATTGTGAGGATTGATAACGTTGCGGTGGATTAGATGGATAGAAAGGGGTTGATGCGTGGATCTGAGCGGGGGTAGTAAGGATGAATTTTCAGGGTTAGTTATTTACGTGGCTTCGAAGTGAATTTAGTACTTGACGAAGGATTACATTAATTTTGTATCGTTGTTATGAAAATTTTTGACAAGGAAATTGTACGAAGTGAAATTTTTTAACGAGTTGATTAGATTCATATTGGTAACCGAACATGAGTCATCGTCGCCATTGTACTATTGCGACGAATAACGAAGTGCTACGAAAGTCGTAGTATCGTATGATGCAGTGTAACGATTAACGATGAAATTCTGTCAAATGTCGAGTGCAAGTACTAAAATCTAATCGAAGCCGTCACAAAAATCAATACTTGAAGACCAAAGAATACTTACACCGTTTTTAACAGAATTAACATATGTCCATATTCTAGTGAATTTTCGCGTAGTAAATTTTCCAAAGTTCCAGTGACAACGTATATTGCGATTTACAAAGAATACAAATTGTGCTTTTCATATCTGCATATCATCGAAAATTAAAACGTTATTCAAGATTAGAATTTCGCGTCGAATTAACGAATTAGCGAGTGTAAAAAAAAGAAAAAAAGAATAGATCAGTGCGCAACGTGTTATTTACTTTGTAAGAGAGCATTCTATTCGCAACGAATTACTAGGATTAAGGATTAACGTTAGATATAACCGCAACCAAAATTTTTCACTTCGATAATCTCGATAACTTCTTCGAAAAAGCATATTGATTATTTCATTTATTTCTTTATAACCTGTGGAAAAATCGAGGCACCGTATACGGTGTACGATCAGAGACACGTACGTAAATGTCGCGTTCCTTTTCTTTTCTAGTCATCGATGCTCTTAGGTTGATCTCGAACGTTTGATCTCACTGTTTGTTTCTTAGAATTATTCTATTTATAGTATACGTCTCCGCCAGTGCTCTTATCGGATCGTGAAACTACCGATTCAGGGAATATATATTGTACAGAATTTATATCTTATCAATAAATCATATTTTACCTAGACGCATACATACACCTTTCTCTGCTTTCTCATTCACAACCGCCTCCCATTTTATAATCTAGAAAAATTAAGATAATCAAATTCGAGTTATAAGAATAAAATTTGAATATCTCACATTTTTAAAGAACTTGTCCAATTTCTAGATATACAAAACATTTCTTCTACTAAATTACAGACAAATTCGAATTATAAGAATAAAATTTGAATATCTCACATTTTTAAAGAACTTGTCCAATTTTTTAGATATACAAAGCAATAAAAATCGACTTACCATAAATTTTATTCTTATCATCTTCTGAAGTAATCTTCTGAACTGTGCATTGTTCCGTCAACGTCAGTCAAATATTTATACACTAGAGAATTAGGAGACGCAAGATCACACAGATAAGGCACGCTCTCGATCGCGGGCAACGACATCGTGAAAAGGGAGGCGAGAGATCCGCAAACAAGGCAGTTATGGATTAAGCGGTTATCGTTTTACTAACGAGCACGCTCGAGCCACTTTGCAGGAATGGAGTCCTGTTCAAGAATGAACGGCCACGTGCCAGGACACGTGTCCTTTGTGGGAATCGCTGCAGGCCAGATGTATCACAAAGTTACCTAAATCTAATCCGCTGGATCACAACGAACGTGACTCGAAAACTTACAAAATCTGACAATCGAAAAAATCGATTCTAGTAATAGTAACATTAGTAGTACCTGCTGTCTCACCTTTTATTCCCTCTCTTTAAATTTAAGTTCACACGTTGTTCACGCTTTCTATCGCAACAGAGATATTGAAATTTCGCAATTTTCGAAAAAAAATAAATGTTATCGAGATAGATAAACTGGCGAAGAGTGGAAAAATGTTATCTTTCCATCCTGGATTCAATAGCTCGATGGTTATTTTGATAGTCTAGACGCCCCCTTTCGTTCAGCTTGATCGAATTCGCTATTTATTTTTCTAACATCGTGCCCTGAAAATGGAACCTACTTCCTCTTCTTATGGAAATCAGTATTTCGAAAATGGTTGATTGATCGATTTCATAACGATCTTATTAACAAGATCCTAAAAATTTATCAATGAAATTTTCCTTCTCGAAATAAAAATAATTGTGTCGAAGCAAAGTGACGAAGACCAGATATTTTTGTCGGTCGACGCGGTTTCACGACACCCTTTGATCAATAATTTCGTATACAAGGCCTATTTGCAAACAAGCTGCAAGCTGCGACGAATCCGTTAGCACGCTCGATCGTTTCCCCAAATCTCGCCAATAATGGTAATGCTTCAATGGAACCATTATGCCTACGACAACGCGTAACTGTGTGCACAACGCGACAGACGGCTACGTTTCGTAAAAGGTGTTGGATTTTGGGGAGATTCAATCAGTTTTTGCACCCCGACATATAGGTATAGGGGTTACGACGACGAAAAATAAGAAATTGGAGAGAATCACCATTGATTTTCCAATGTAACAATTCAAATAAAATAAAATAGGATAAAAGCTGATTTGATTAAAATCGATTGAATTCATGATAAGAATCATGAATTGACAAAATTAATAAGAGAAAGAGGAAAAATCGAAGCAATAAAATACTTGCCGATTTCTACGACGATCGGAATCGAACAATGAAAAACTGTTTTTCGGAGCACACACAAGCCTCTCTCGAACAAAGTTTAAACAAAGACCGGACGAGGAATTTTTTACAGGCCATAAACGTCGCTGCCTGCATTTCGAAGCGCAGTGATTCCGCTTTGATCGACCTTTCGTTGGGTCGTTTCCGTCGAGTGCACATATCGATCGCGTGCAAGGCCCTCATTGTGCCGGGGCGCTGGTCTGTACGGTGACATACTGGTGGCTGACAGAGGTGCACCCCTGTGGAGAGCAGAAGGGGGGTACAGTGACGCGAGTAGGGAAAAGGGGGAGTACGGGTTTTCCTAATTCATGAAAATTCGTGAAATTACCTTGACCGATCGGTGAACACTTAATCGAAGATAAATGGCCGTGATTCTTCCACCACGCGGGAAGATCCCCTCCGAATAATTGTTCGATTCCGTGAAAGGTGTCATACAAATAGAAAAAGTCGAAAGTTTATCCGAAAACGTCGAGAAACGTTGTTGCGCACGTACGATGTACGACTGTGCAAAATTTCGAGAGCTTTGATCAATCTTGATTGATGATGATCGATATTCTTGACTGTTTGTTTTTCGTGATCGATGGGATATTTGAAGTGGAAGATGAATACAATGAAACAATTTGAAAAATTCTACTTATCCTTCGAAATAAGAATCTCATTTATATATAAAACTCTTCATAAATAAATTGCTTGAATAATTTATTTACGAATAGAAAATGAAAAGAAAAAGAAGTTGCAATTTATTAAAATTCATTCTCATACGACACGATTCGAATTAATGGAACAAAGACGATCTCGAAACGAAACCACCCCCGATCCTATTTACCCTGAAACAAGCAGACAACGCGGGGTGTAAAAAGAAGATTCAGACAAGCATCTTTCGGCATCGTATTTCGGCATCTGTTTAGATCGTAGGGGTAGCCGGGCTTTTCACTGCAAGTTGGCATTTGCAGGCCTTTGTGGTAAACCAACGAACAATGCCTGTTAGACCACTACGTCAGCACACGGAGCACACCCCGCGAGCACACCATCAACGTCTATTCCATTTTCTTTCCTCCGCGCGTGGTAGCTCGCTAAAATATGGAAAGCCTTATTTGAGTTAGAGATCGACGCCCTTGGCCGGAATAAATTGAATTAATGGAAGAACGAGAGCTGATTGTTAAGCTCTTTAGAGAGACGGTATTCGTTGAATCACGTGTCCACGTGAAATGGAAACTGTAGGCAAGTCGCGGAGGATGAAATTGTTACAAGCATTTTTGTTTTCTTTATCCATATTTATTTAGATTAAATAATATTTACGAATAATATTAGTGAATCGATGAGTTCTTTTTTCTATGATTTTGCAAATAATTTGTTAATTTACATCCTAAATTTATCGTTATAAAAGAATTTTTCAATGATGAAATGATCCGTGATCTGTCACTTACAGAATATTCTGCGTTGATCGTACAATTTTATTAATGAAAAAAAAAAAGATTTTTCTTAAAAAAATAGAAAGATATACATAAGAAGAAGTTTTTGAGGGAAGGATCCGATAACGTTTCGACATTTTTTAATAAGAACTTGACAACAACTGCCGCGAATCTACACGCCATGGTTTGACTCTCGCGATAGAAATATAGGGGACAGATGTCTACGGGGGGCAGGTGTAGCCCAATGTACGCGTGCCAACCAACCCCCCACTGCGCCGCCATTCAAGACTATAATTTACTTGAAGAATGCCCGAGCCAGCCAGGCATTCATCCCGGAATGACGTGGATTACTGGTCCAGGGAGTCCAACGAGTCCTCCAAAGTCGATCGGGAATCATCGACAGAACGATCGGCGATAACGTTAACGACCCCTTTTGCTTTACTGTTGCAACAAACTTTTTTTTTTTCGTGGCACGTGGTAACAAAAGAGTTTTTAACCGTTGGATCCTTTATATTTTGTAAATATAATAATAATAATAATAATAATATTTCGTAACATAAAATTTTGATTCGTATCTTCTCACTTCCATTTTTTTTTTTTTTTTTAAAACGTTCCCGGTTTTTCCAATTTCCCTTTTTTAATTTCAGAAGTTTTTTTTTTTTTTTTTAAAACGTTCCCGGTTTTTCCAATTTCCCTTTTTTAATTTCAGAAGTTTTTTTTTTTTTTTTTAAAACGTTCCCGGTTTTTCCAATTTCCCTTTTTTAATTTCAGAAGTTTTTTTTTTTTTTTTTAAAAAAAAAAAAAGGAAGGGGGGAGAAAAGAAATAAAATTTTTTTTTAAGAAAAATTTTTTTTTTTTTTTTTAATTTTTTATACACTGATCCGTGTATTCCTAATTTCCTATATTGAATTTCAGAGATTATACTTCTTATTATTATTCGAAATATTCTTTTGAAATTAATGAATGAACGATATCGTAATTTTTTTTTATAAATAAAGCTTTCAAGCTTTAACAAAATGTAATGCGAAGATTTGTTTACTGGGATTTTCTCTTTGTTTAATACACTCTCCATCGTTTATTAACAACATCAATCGGTCTAACGCTCAGCCTTTAATCACATGTAAAACCGGGATTAAAACCAAAAGGATCGCTGGACAAATCATTGATTTAACGTCATTGTGAAGCGTTCGTAAGAGAGCGCGTTTTATTGGGCTTGTAAGGTGAGCTTAGGCAGGATTACAATCTCCCTGAAAATACATTTGATCTGAGGATTTATTCCGCGTTTCAATTGTATCTAACTCGAAAAAATTGCACACATCGAACGTATTTACACACACACACAAACACATGTATGTAACAAATTGGAAATTACAATTTAATTCATTTATTTTTAAATTCCTCCAATTCCTTATCTTTCGATGAAAAAATTTTACACAATGAAACGTGAAACATTTTTTTTTTTCCTTTTTGTTTGTAATTCTATACATTTGGAACGAGAATCATTAGTAACAATCATTCAAGCAACAGTAAAAGTAACGGTGATGGATATAGAATTTCATTGTGCACGCTCGAATCGTTTGGTTTCATGATTTCGCCGAGCAAACGATTTTCCCTAATTCTCTAAATCGCTCGCAAATAGTAATTCAATCTCGCAATCGATGCGCCCTTTACATTTCAAAATTACCGGCAAATAGTAACTCAATACGATGAATAGAGACTCCTCAAAGGATGATTCAATAGGAGCAGCCTAATTTCACGGCAACGTTAGTTTCGTGAATGCTCAGGTGGTCGATGTGGTCTTAGGTCAATGGTCAGTTGAACTGACATTGACCTAAAATTTTCTATGGACTCCTCAGATTCTTCTTTTAATACGTTGATTCTTATTTGATCTCAAACTTTCAAAAATCTACGTATATATATCTTGATTAAATTGAAGATTTTTTAAAACGAAGAATTTAAAGACGAAATTTGAT